TCTTTTTTAAGCACCAAGTTTGAATAAAAGAAATGCTTTAATTCTGTAATGCATTGCATATCTTTAACTAATCTGTAGTTCTGATTCTCACCATTACTTCATTTTCTTCAGTGATTGGAATTTAATTTTATTCATTAATTTGTGAATAATTAGATAAAAAAAAAATAAAACCCTCAGCAGTCAAATTGCTTTTGGATTACAATTTAATGTACTTTATCAGAATATGTATTATAGTTAAGCTGGCATAATAGTTTACTAAAATGTAATTGTGTAAATATGCTTAATTATGCTTTCTGATGATGTGACAAAATCTGTGTATTCATGGATATTCCCCTCCTCCTCCTTCACCTCAACGCCAATAAAACAGTTCCTGCAGACTGATCACAGATAGCTTGTCATCTGAAGGTGTTACTTTTAAAAGATATTATCTCTCAGGCACTATTCATGTCCTTGAAAGAATTGTGCATTCTGATTGAGGAGTCATATGATGTCCACACTGAATTATATAATAAAGGTGATCTTGAGACTCTCAGAGTCAGACACACACGATGAGTTGCACTTTCTAGGTTTTGAGATGACATTTTAAAGCTTCTTTTGTTTCACTCTAAGATTGCTTGAGAGTCTACCTATTTGGAGGTGTTTGACATCACTCTGCCGCATCTGTAATTGGCATAGCATCCAGCAGACAGGCTCTGTACATCTTTACACTGCAACCTACCAAGTTAAGAAATGTATTGGTTCAATATAAAACAGCAGGCTGTTTTTAGACATAGTTACTAGTGCACAAGCTTTAATATGGCTTGGCTTCATCCTATAATGAGATCTTTTGGTTCCCTGCTCAACAGGCTTTTATTCCTTTGCAAAAGGCTATGAACTATGTCAAGTGGATCAGCTGCTTTTGTACACCCTCTTTCTTGGCTTTGGAACATAATTCCTTTGCTTCTACCCCTTTATGCATCAGACAGAACTTAAGAACCTTTCCCATTTTTCAAGCTAAACTTAGAATTTGTTTGAATTTGCTTTGCACTATTTTGCTAATAATTACATTCTCAACTGAAACTCACACAAAGACCTGCCTGGAAGGGAACACTTAATTGCAGAGCTACACTTAGTCTTTAATGTGTCTGTCTATACCCCCTGTTGATAATCTGTCAAGGGATGATTATCTAAAATTTCTGTCACCTCACAACCAAAGTAAGCATTCTTTAAACAAGCACAAAGGGCATAAACATGGACAAATGATAGCATGAGCACTACCAACCCCAGTTCAGTGAAAAGACAGAAACCCCTGCCTGTGGACATCTGGCTGCTTAGGGGAGTTATATTCCCAGTCCGATCGGAAAAGGTCTTACTGTAGTCCCTGCCTGATGAAGAATTGGGTGTGTCTCCCTCGTGATCCTGCTTTGCTGGGGGGACTTGGGCATTACATTTTTTACAGTTCTGTTTATTACCAGGTTGTCAATTGGCATCATTAACATCTGGTCAAAATATACAAAATGTTGACTCACAGGAAATAGAGCCTCTTCAGTGGAATTCTGAAGTGTGAAAATACATGGTTGATTTATCACCATGTGTTTGATACCGTGTGTTTAGCACCATATATTTGCATTTTGGCAAAAAATAAACTGTACATCAGGGCTGTGTTATAACGATAACCCTCTTCATAGCCCCATCTATTTAAACTGCGCCTCTAAGGGTAATCTTAAATAAGCATGTGCTTATTTGTAGTCTCAGTGTTACAACTAAGTTTACTCATGGATGTCCTAAGTTTCTTCCCTACGTTAAAACTTATTTAGAATTCTCTAACTACCTTGAGATGCCTAGAAAAAATACAATAAATGGATTAGCTACAGGGAGCATAGCTGTGGAGGGGTTGGGGATGACTCCTTGAGGAATATCTAGTCCTTGATTAAAAGTTTAAAATAGGAAGAGTACAACAAACACTACCAATATGTTAACCTAGATGTAAAGGCGGCCTGCTTTTCTACATCAGAATGAAAGAAAAATGGATATTAAAAATTTGATAAAATTTCATCTTGACTATCATGAGTAGGTGTATCAAAACCTATAGGTCTAAATTAACACAAGTAGTTGGAGGAAGCACAAAGTCTTGAATAATTTGAATCTATACCACTGATAAAACTTTGTATGGATAAAGAATGGAAAGTTATTACATAGGATTGCACAGGTTACTTATTTAACCATTAAAAACTACTTCAGGTGAAGAAAATGGATGCAGCTGATGCAAGAATGTGAAAAAATAAAACTTTACTAGTTCTCTACAGTAAAGTGACACTTTAATTTAGGGTTAAATTAATTGAAAGTAATACCCAATTTCTGAGCTCTTTGATGTTTACTCTTAGATATATTTTATAAATTGACCTTTTTGCATTAATTGAGGAGTAACTTCTAATAGAACCCCCTTTACCAAAAGAGTGCACAAATCTTGCATTTGACCTACTGTGAATATTTAATTTTTTGAAATCTATGTCAACAATGATTTGTAGTGTGTAGTTCCGTATCTTTTGTGGTTCATATATGGGCATGAGTCATGTGATTTAAAGAAAGATCCACAATAAAAAAAGTATTGAATGTTAAGTAACAGGTTAATCATTCAAATAGCAATTAATCTATCAATTAGATATGAAGATAGGCTAGAGAATAATGGAGAAGTCATTTATTTTTTATTTTGAAGTAATGTGTTCTGGATAATACAGGTCCAGTTTGAGAACTTTAAAATTTCCACATTTATAAAGAGACCATATCTGTAACTGTAAACTACAGCATTTAGTAAAGGTTGCCATATAATTCAACAAAATGTTTTATAAAGAAATTATAACATATTGAAACTATTTTCACATTTGCCTACAATTTTTTTTTTAATTCATAAAAGGTGCTTTAAGGAATGATTGTAGAGTAGATAGCAAAGGAAAAATACTATGAATATAAATATGAAAATAAAGTTCTGCGCTTAATGTTCTCTGTTACAGAAAACCATTTTTTTAAAGGTGCTAATATTTTCATGAAATAGGAGCAGAATATATTTAAATATTAGAAAAATCACTTGCTTGAACAATTTTACAGGATATAAAGTATTCTAATAATTAATTCCAAGTCATTAGATGATACCCCTTATACCCTAAAATATGTTAACTTTGGGTATTTGTAAATATTCATATACTAGTTACTATGAAATAGTACAAAGGTTCTTCTTATATTTAATAAATGAAAGACTTTCAGACAAGAGAAAGATAGCTGTCTGCTAGAATTCTTTTAAAAGCAGACAATCTTAAGTTTTGAATGTATATAAATAACATTGTGTGGGGGAATTCAAGAATTTTACTACCTGCTGTTTAAGCCCTTTAAGTAATGATACTAGTAGAAACTAGATTTCAACTTAAAGGAAAAATGGTTAAGTGTCCACCTTTCTATGTTTCAGGTTAAATCACTCTCTTTAAAGAACAGGTTTGCTCAAGGCTTCCTAAAATGTTATTTTTGTTTTACTATCAATTTGTTACTTAAACTGGAGAGCTGAAAATAATTATTAATCCCAAAGTAAACTTTTGAATTTTCTACTAGAATTGCACTAATTCAAACCAAACTAAACTTGGGGAAGATTAAACTTGGTAGGAGAACAGCACAGTATGAATTTATTCTCCTCTTTATCTCTGCAACATCTTTATGTCTCAATAACCCTATGCTTAATCTTGTAGTCACATCTTTATACTAGGGATCTTCATAACATGTAATATTGGTGGAATGTAATGTGAAATTGTGTTACTGAATCTGTTCACAATAGCGAATATCAAGATTACCATTGTCTCGGAAGGGGAGGTATGCATTTATATGTGTTTTGCAAACAGAACATAGATTACAGAAACTGTTAGACACCCTCCCCTCTCCACTAAAAGGCTTAGAATTTATCCAAAAAAAAAAAGAGAGAGAAAATGGTTTTGAATAAATCAAAGACAGAATTTAATATTAAAAGATTTTCTAATTTAAATGTAATTTGTCAAACATATTTTTTCTATAAAATATGGCTAATTTATAAAGCGTTTTTAAGGCAACTATCAAAAGTTAAATATGTGCAAGATAATGCATGTTTTTAGTTAAGTTAAATTTTAAAATTTAAAAAAAAGAGATGTGTTCCTGCAACTAAAGAAAATAGATACTTAAAATGTTTCTTTTTTTTCTGTTAACTACTTATGGGCACATACAGTTTAGGTCTTTCACCTAAAACTTCATCCTAAATCAAAATAATTCATTCAAGCAGCAGGTGAATTATTCATCCTAAGAGGCCTTCTTAAATGCCACATTCTAGAAGTCTTTGGAATATTCCAGCAGATATTAGCTGCTCTTTCAGTGTATTCCCACAGCCTTTTTAGTTTCTCTCCTAATTCTCACTTTAGCATGCCTTGTGGAATGGTTCATTCTGTACAGTCTCTTTCCTCTGCTAACTGTATTCTCCTCGGGTAGAAGCTGATTGACGTCTCTCTCTGCATCTCAGTAAGAGATTATATACAGGGTAGGTACTCAGTCTGTTAAAAAAAGTGTAAAAAATAAAAGGCAGAATGTGGTGATCCATAGTAGTTACCTAAAAATTATGTGGGCTTGTTTTCCAATATTTACTTCAAAGTTAAGGTGCTAATTTTTAGTCACTAAAAGATAAACATCAGAAATAAACTGTCTGGTTTAAATTTCCAGAGAACTCTTATAGAGCAAGAGGCTCCTGAGAATGATTAATGAAAATATGTATCAAACAGAAGACATTTAGAATTCTTTTCTGATCAAAATGTCTCTCAGTCATTGTAACATACATAGAAGTTTAAAAGTAGTTAACATTTCACATATTGAACCATGTAGACTTGACTACAGAGAAAAAACTTTCAGAGATTATTTAAAATAATGAGTTAACAGTGCAAATACTGGGTTGCTTCATGTGAATCTTACCAGGTGCTTTTTTTCCCCCTTAAAAGAAAAATTCTTAAAACATTCTCCAGTTTTAACACAAACAGAAGATAAATATTTATGAAGGAAAACAAATTCCACAGCATTCCATACAGATTTCCAAACAGTCTGATGATTCACAACAGGCATCCATGATGCCACAGTCCATGTCACAAGGGCAGTTACAGTCATCCCCCATGTCATCTCCACAGCAACAGCAGCAGGCTTCCGAGGTGCAGATGCCACATGAAGCTTGTCCCAGGACAATATTGCAGAGGGTCAGGAATTCACAGAACAAGCAGGCCAGGATACAGTGGACACAGCAATCTTCATTTTAATTGGGAAGTGAATACATGAGGAAAAAAAAAGGAAACACAAAATACATAAATCATCAACACACTTAACAATAGGAGCTGATCAGAATAATTACTTTAGTAATCCAGAATCACAGGACATGCATTCCTAAGAGTCTTCTGTAGGCTGGAAGCTGAAATGGGGGGTTACATACTAGACAGGGATTTTTTGTAAGTGGAAACTTCATTAGCTAAAAAGCAAGGGATCACTGTGTGCACGCGTCCTAAGGGTGAGGTTATTGCTCTGATACCTGTACTATGGTTTCTGGTCGTGAGCTTCACTTCTCTATGCTTCTCACCACTGACTCTATTCAGTGTCTCTAACATCAATCTGTGACATTAGTCCTTCAGAAATAGGTAAATATCTCACTTCCCTTATTACTTTGCACAAAAATTGGAAGGAAAATAATTTATAAAAATATATCCAGAATAAGTTCTTGCCTAATTGATTTAATAGTTAAATTGGAATCCATTATACTAGAATCAAAACATTTTACTTTCCAATACAACTGATTCAACTTCATGGTCTCAGTTTTTCTGATTTCACAAGAATTAAAGAAAAACTGATTTTCTGATTGTGTCCAATCATTTCTACAGAATAGCTTTTATTTCTAACAAAGGATGTGTACCTTAGCAAATGTACACAATGGCAGAGTAACGCTGCTTTCCCACTTCCTGTGTGGCCAAGCCTTTGCTGTTTCTGTTTCCTGAGACAGTGCCTATGATGCCTCTTTAAATAACAGTGTTTACCAAACTTCATGAACTGGTGGGCAAAAGGTAAAGAACTAAAGTATTACAGTCGAACACATGTAGTATACCAAGTTCTGTTCTTCCCTTTGAAATTTTGGGGAAATTCAGGACAATAGAAGAAAATACATCTGGAAGATTGTAACATACATAATTAAATTACTTAAGACCAGTGTTGACATTCATCCAATTTCAGATTTAGTTGTAAATTTGTACCAGGATTATTCTGGGCATTTTTGTTACTATATGCCATACAAAATAAGCATTAATGAGGGGATTCTAATTCCTAAAACAGCAACAGTCCACACTGGTCTCCATTTCATCCCATCATCCTATGTCCTTTATGTTTTCTTCTTTGTGTTTAAAACTGAGTGTCTGTGATGTAGTTTTAATAAACTTGTGTGAAAATCAAACATGGAGAGGAAAACACACAGCAACAACTTGGCAGCCCTGCTATCACAGAGAAGAGTGTTCACTATAGATGTAAGTTGACAGGTTACTTGCAGTATCACTGATAGAACAGTCTCAACTCTACAGACTTCTCCCTAACATCCTGTCATAGATCCCCCAACTCCTTGAACAACACCCAATTTTTTCCCTCAACTTTATTAAAGTGGTAAATGCAGAAATACAAGATTATGATCTACATGCCAATTGGCAAAAGGAGAAAAGGGAGAGAATTCATAAGGGAAACTCCAGACTTATTGCTGAATTAAACATTAAAAGAATAAACCAATTTTCCTTTCCAATCTTCTCAGTGCTAAACTGACTTTCTCTACATAGCAAGTGGGAACAGCTTACAGAGTTCTATAGTGCCCAGGTTTCCATCCATCTTCTCCTAATTTTTCTTAGTGTGGTTTCCATTGTTCACAAATTTTTACCCTAATAGGTTTTATTTGTATCTCAGTTAACCTTTTATAAAATAGAATTATTTGAAAAATATTAGAAATGTTATGGAGAGATAGCATTATAGTGACTATGAAAATAGTGTTGGACTGGCAGGAAGTCATTTCTACTCAGGGTGTCTTCCAAACTAATAATTATATTAACTAATCCTAACATTTCATTGATACCATAACTTTGTATCCACTGCAATGCTGACTCTTCAAGACGAAGAAAAGGGGAATGTTAAAGTCACTTAACATTAAAGAACATTCAACTGAACGTTTCTAAAACCCTAAGAGTAGTTATTGAGCACTTAGATCATGTATAAACAAACTACTTCTTACATAGAACTATCTGTAAAGAATCTGTTAATCAAAGGTGAAAGAATGGTTATACTACTCAACCTTAAAAATAAGCTAAATCTGTGAAACATCTTTGAAACATCCTGTGTTCTCTTCATAAATGCAGCTTCCTCTCTCAGAGATAGTCAGTGTCTTGAATGCTGTCTCTTGCTTTTTCATACTTTTTGCTATAGTGCATTTATGAATATACTGTGTGAAAACTGAGGATCATTTTTTTTTTTTGCTCAACATGTGTTTCAGATTTGCTCATGTTGACTCACATCCTTTCATTTTCCAAGTATGTATATTCCATTGATTAACATACATAATTTACTCATCCATCCCACTATTGATAGATCCTTTGATTGTTTGCAGTGTTTTTAGCACATGGAACATTACTGTGTGAAACAATTTTGTGCAAGTGTCCTAGAGAATACATACTAAATGATAGCAGTTTGTTTCCAAAGTGACTACTTCAAAATTTACTTCTACCCAGGATGACCAAATTCATTGTTCCATGTCATCACAAGTTTTTGAAATTTTCATGCTTTCAATATATGCTGATGAGTCAAGTGTAAAATAGCATTTCATGGTAAGTTTTTTACTTTGCATTTCCTAGAGAGACTGGATTATGTATCTGAAGTAGTGAGGTGGTAAGAGAGGACTTTGACACATTAAATTAGTGAAAAGAAACAATGAGTCATTAATAAGATTTGGTAGAAGAATGAAATAAAAGTCTTAGTGTCTGGTTCAAGACAATAGTGTCTAGTCATTGAAAGGGGGAAAAGAGTAATAAGTAACTAGGCAAGAGACTCCGTGCAACTGGTGTGAAGCCTTGCAACTGGTGTGAAATCAATAGCCTTTAACATAGAAGACAGAAGTAACATTCTAAACTAAACAACTCAGTGCTGCTCAAATTCTCCTTTGAGAATTAAAATCTCTTCCAGATCTTAGATGATAACAATTGTCCTACAGAAGCGAGAAACCAAACAACTACTTTAGTTAACAAGATCTACAAATTAAGCCATATATTATCTCAGATATTTTCCCACTTTGTATTAAATTGTTTTAAGATATTTAAGATTTATGTGGGCCTTTTTCTGTGTGTGTACAAGAACTGGGGTTAAGATTTATGTTTATGGGATATAGGCCAGAGATATGAGGGGTGAAAGGATTCACCAGAGACAGTGTGGGGAGCAGAACAGGGGAGTCTACTGAAATATACTGCTGAGGGGAGCATGGAAAAGACAGGAAATGCCTGCTGTATTGTGTGGGTCAGCTTCCTGGCCAGAGATCAAAGTCATGTTGCAGTGGCTGATGATAGCTTTATAGGGCTGAGACTTAACCACTGTACCACCAGACCCTTGCTTTTAATCTTGACAAATAATGATTAAATAGCAATACTGTTTCTTAGGATTATTATTATTCCTGGTTTACCAATGCAAGGACTGAGTAGTAGGAAATTTGACCAAAATCATAGAACAGGAGATAGCTTAGCCAAGGTAAGAACCTGTATAATTCTCTTCCAGAGTCCATGCTCTCAACCCACAATCTTGATGTCACTGTAGGGCTATGTCACATCTAACACTTGGTTCATATTCTTGGTGGGAAGATCAGTTATAAATCCTAAAGTTTATGCTGATTTATTTATCTTACTTAGGTAAGTGATGTGATAACTTATAATTTGTATCTTTAACCTTCATTCAAGTTCCTTTTTCTTTCTAAAGATGATATGAAATTTAGTTCTAATATAGAGTTAATAGTAATCCTTGAAGTTAGAGTGAAGTTTATGAACTGGAGAATGGATAAACTACCAGCCACATGATTGAAATAGGCATAAGAAGATAAGACAGCTTAGAGAGTGATTATGCCTGATCAAAACACACACATCTACATATATAAAACAAAACAAATATCAAGATTCATAGTTACACAAGCAAGAGCAATGTATAGCTTTCATAGGAACTGGAGAGGTCAAAAGAGTAATAAGCCCTTTGTGCAAATATTAAGACATAAAAAATAGGCATATTTTAAAAACACAGTCCCTACATACTTTACTACAGAAACTGCCAAATCTGGTAACTGCCATTTAAAGAGACCACAAACCCCCCCCCAAAAAAGCATTTTGGGATTAAAGTGATATTAAACAAAATGCATTTATAGAGCCTTCTATCAAAAAGTGTCCCTAGATTTTATTTATTATCTAATGTGTGTTCCTTGTCAAAACCAGTTTTCTTTTCATTGTTCTACAATGAGTGGTTTGGTTGTTAACAAGGTAAGACTATGAATAAAGAGATGTTATAATTTTCACCACTACTGTCTCATCGCCCCCACTTGATGCCTGCAGCGGTGTCAAGACTCATAAGACATGACGATGATGGTTTTAGTAGAATCAAGAGGATTTAAGAATGAGCAAACTAAGAAACATTTTAAAAAGATGACTGCTGTATACATGAAGTTCACTGTCAAATAATTTTTATTCCTGTTATTAAGGTTTTTAATTATTAGGGTTCCATTCAGTTATGTTTGTTGTGTTTGCCTTTGAGAAGCCAACTGGGTTCTGGGAAGAATGCCTGTCCCAAAATGGGCCAAGCAAGAATTGCACAACTCGGTGTACTGCTGAGAGGAGAACTCAGTGCAAGACAGACAGCTATTGGAAATTTAGGAAAACAAAACAGCAGAGCAAGATCCAAGGATCTAGAAGGAAATATAGCACAGTGTTTGATTTAAAAAAAAAAAAAAAAAACTGTTCTGAATTACTGCAGACACAAACCCAAACAAAACCTCTGAGTCGTATGAAAGGTCATCCGTGTTAAGCCCATGCAGCTGGCAGGTTTGGAAAGCTACTGGAGGTAACAACTGAAATCCACTTAAACAGTATCTTTGATGACTGGTAAAAATATCTGTGACTGATTGAAGGGGCTTTGTTCTGTTAAAAATAATCCAGGAGATTTGTTTTTTTAAGAACATTTTAATTATGAAATTATCTCAAATTGACTTA